ATGCCAAGTAGCCAGACGATGACCGTTCGACTTTGACCTGTCTTGGTTCACTCGGGCAAATGCCTGTTGACGCCGTCGAACGGATACACTTGATACAGACATGCCACGACAATTGTCTCACCGGTCCCAGACTTCCCACAACAGCCAGACAAATGGTGAATGTGGCAATCAATCCGAGAGCATGACAAGCGGAAGATTGCCCGGCTCGACGACGGCAACAACCAACAAGTTGGTGTCGTCGAGGCTACAGCATCGTCCAGTCGGTCAGCAAAAAGATGCAAAACAAGAACTAACGCAAATTAGAAAAGGAGAGAGAGAGAGCATGAAGAGATGCCAAATCAGCACCGTCGTGCAAGGGAGTATGCGAGAGAGAACGAGAATGTAGAAAGGGTGTATCCAAGAGGATAAAGAGAGAGAGAAAGAGAGAGAGAGAGTGAATGTGAAGTGTGCAGCAAGAGCGGGGCAATGGCGCTAGTGGAAATTGGGTGTAATCTGATTGGCTGGCTACCATCTCTGCAGGCATCAGAATCGCGTCGGCCTGTCGACCAATCAGAAAGTGGATCTGGTGCTTCTGCTTTCTGACTTCTCCGCACTCTCGCGTAGCAGAGGTTTGCAAGGCTCTCTCGCTTTTTTCTCTCTCTTGTCCCTCAATTGCTGTCTGTGTCTGGGTCGGTAATGTGGGGATCTGAGAGTCTGTCGGTTTCATCAGACCCGTGTTAGCCGACAACTTCGGCTGGCCGCAGATTTTCGTCTTTCCGAAGTGATAATAAATAAACTCTTTCGGGCCACAGGTCACTTGATCTCGTTCCAAGTGGAAGAGCTGAGAAAAGAGAAAGCGGCTCGATTTGAGCCGCATCCTTCATCATCGTTTACCGCTATTAAGCCCCACTCGATACCACGTCACTGGCCGTCCTCTTGACGGACAATTTAGCCCACTTGTCGCATCGTCCGGACCATAGAGTGGCTGCAATGCTGACGGCGATGAGCGCTGGTCTCTTGTGAATCCGCCAACAAGAAGCCCACTTTCGCACCTCACAACGAGCAATCAAACATCCCCAAGCACCAAGCCCCAAGCCCCAACCAGTCGATCTTGAGGCATGGCCTCGTACCATCCGGGCTCGAGCGGTGGCCTGCATCTGATGAATGGCTCCGCTTCGGTTGCCGGGCGCATGGCCAGTGGGCCGGGCATAGCAACGGCGGCCGACTACTTCGCCGCCATGTTTTCGCCCGCCCAGTCGCCAGGTCCGCTTAAATCGGAACGTCGCCCCACCGGACTCGCCTGCCACCCCAACCCCAACCCCAACCTTAACCCCAACATCAACGCCAATGTCAACGTGAACATCCACGAACCGGTAGAACCTACTTCGACTACCGCCGCAACAGCAGCGTCTGCGGCGGCAGCGGCTGCGGCAGCGGCTGCTGCTGCCGCCGCGGCCGCCAACAGTCTGGTCGACTACGCCGTGGCGGGACTCGGTTCCAACCACGCCTACGAGACGGAGCGCTGGTGTCCGGCGGCCTATCCGATTGGAGGAGTCGTCGTCGGTGCCTCGAGTCCGCTCGCCAACACGGTCTCGAATCCGGCCGCAGCAGAATGCGGAATGACGCAACTGTTGTCACGTCACATGCTCGAGCCGGCCTCGGTGGCTGCTCGTCTCGAGGGCGGATTCAACGAAACCGGCGTGTACACAAACGGACCGACGTCCGGCGTCAACGGTCTCTTCCCAACGGCCAGACAGTTGAGTTCAGTCGGACTGACGAATCACGAGGCCGGACTTGGCGCAGCCAGGCCCCTGGCAACCGGACTCATGTCGACCCCTGACGGCCAGACTGGATACACCGGCCTCGAGATGTTGGCACCGCCGGCGAATGTCTATTCCGGTGGCCTCGGCTACGCCTCGCACACCCTCGAGATGGACGCCAGTCGGTGGATTGAGCAGGCTCTGCACTCGTCCGTGGCCGGTGCCGCCGGTTTCACACGTCGACCGGCTGCTTTTCCCACCTGCAGAACGTGTAAGTCGGTTGGTGGACACACTTTACCCTCGCAGCCCATTGTTGCCATGGCGAATCGCCTAAAAAGACCGATCATCCTACCACCCATAATCTGTACACGACATGAGTGGATGAGGGATCAATCGATAAAACGATACAAACCCTCTGCTCCAGCTCACATCACTGCAGTAATTGAGCTGGTTTGATCTCGTTTCCGCTACTTGATCTTGTTGTCAACGCTACCTAAAAGAAATCTTCTTCTCCAAAGTCCTCTGCTATATTACTCATGATAATTTTCAGCATCCAACTGTCAACTATCATCGGTCAGCCTTGCCAGTCTTAGCGGCAAATTACAAATCCATCCCTTCACCAACATTCTTCCGAGCATTTGTGATATCCCTGCTTATCTCCTGATGCATCATCTTTTTCACAAGTTTTAGCTTATTGCTTTGAATGACATGTCTCAATGACTATGCCGACTACGTCTGAGAATGTCCCAAGCGGCAAAAGACAATTGTCACCTTGACAATACGACAAAGTTGCAGAAACGAGGTCAAAATATAGGCGAAACCAGCTTTGTCTTCATGAATGCGGTTAGCATAGAGGAATTTGTCTACATCTTGACAAGAAGCCAAACCCACCGCCTTGCCTCAGTCCATGTCGTCATACCACTTCCTTCCTAAATAATACCTCTGGTCAACCTAGGTCGCACAAGGTGATTTAAGTAATGATAAGTGAATTTTACAAAAGCCATGTAATGTCATTGCTACCAAAAAGTTATTCTCATCGAAGGTGGACAACATTTTCGACTTGGTCTCGATCTCATCAGATTAAGAGATTTGTAGGCCACGGCAATCGTTGATTTTACTCCGACTCCATTCACTAGACATCCCTTCTCCGGTCCGTCCTGCAACTGGACAGACATCGTTAAAACTGGAATTCAGTCGAAAAGACTGGCTTGCTTTATCCCAAATTAGACCTGAATTCCCGAAGATTATTCGGCTCCATTTCACATGTTATGTATCATTTCGGCTAAAAATGATATCGAGTTTTTAATATCTATCTCCGCTGAGTCATTAGTCTTAAAGTTTTGTAAGAGATCTTTCCAACATTGATGCCAATTAGCATAAAAGACGAAATTTGAGCCAAAACTGATGTTCATGTCTTGCAGACTATC